GGACTACCACCGCCCAAGACTACACCACCCAATTGCCCGTCGTCCATGAAGGTCATCTGCCTACTCGTTCTCATTCTGCCGAAAGCCTTCTTCTTCATCGAAGACGGAGAACCAGCCGCAGTTGACGAAGGACTTGCAGCACCCGCATCGTCCTCAGCAGGAGCATCTTCAATGGCTACTTTGGAAGTAGAAGACGGAGAGCCGTCTTCACTCATGCGAGCATCATTGTTCTTTACCTCCTGCTTTCTGGAGAGGTGGTCTTCGTCTTGCTCTTCGTCTTGACCTACTTCCTGTTTCGTAGATGCTGTTGCAGCTGAACCTCCATCTTTGTCTTTGAAGGCGACAATATGCACAGCAGCGTGTGTTCTAGCAGTCGTTTTCACTGGAGCAGACGTCGTTTTACTATGATAGGCTACTGGTGGTGAAGATACGGACTTCGTGGCTTCATCTGAAGAAACGGGAGGAACTGTTGTACTACTTGTTGGATCGGCAGGAGTAATGTTGCTACTTACTGCCTGAGCCGGTACGTCTTCCAGAGGGTCGTCTTCTTCGGTCCGGTGTCTACGGACCTTGCGGACCCTCAAAGGAGAGTTTACTAAAGTGGTTGAAGTGCCTATCTTGTCGTCGCCCCAAGCACGGTCTACTTCATCCGCGGCCGCCGCTGCTGCGGATTTTCGTCCGTCGTGGCCCTTCGATGTGCCGCTACGCCTCTTGTTGATGGTTTTGGCCAAGAGTCGTCGAACTAAACCAAGGATTTGACCCGAAGACGTTCGTTCTGTCGACGTTCGACGTCCTAAGCCGTTCCAATTGTTGTTGTTCTTGTTCTGAAGATTCTTGGAACTCGAAGGCACCATATGCTGGCGCACGATGAACCCTCCTCGAGCCGTACTCGCATTCTCTAGAAAGTTATCCTCGTGGTCGTGGCCTTCTAGAAAGTTTTCCGTCGACCGTCCAACAAAAACGCTGCCTTCTCCCGTACGCCTTTTCATGAATTCATTGCTCAAATTGGCTCCGCCACCACCTCCAGTATAGGGCGTTGGCTGTTCATACAATGGTTGACCGCCTCCTCCACGCTCTACTAGCAAATTGACGCTCGTTTCGTCGTACACTTCGTATACGCAAACTCTAATGGAGAAATTCGGCGCATTCGGAATGGAGCTTGAAGACAGTCTATCTAGGAGAGAATCGGCAAACGGTCTTGTTGTGGTCGTGGTGGTGGGAGCGACGTCACTAGGACGTAAAGTACCAGTCGAACCGCGCAGACTTCTACTAGGAGCTCCTACTCCTGAGATAGAAGAAAAGTCCTCAAATTCCTCCCCCCGCATGGAGGGACTTCGAAGACTACCTCTAGTACCATCGTCAGCGTCGTCACGCTCCGCAGCAGCTTGCTCTTCCTCCTCTCTCCTCTTCTTCTCTAAGAAACGAGTGGTCGGCTGTGTAGCTGGAGGCCGGCTCCCATTGGGGACTGAATTCCTGCTAATATAGGTCGGACCACCGGACGAAGAAGATCGAGTTCCTTCTACTACTCCTTCATCTTCTGCGATGGAATATCGATTCACCCCTTTACTTTTTACAATCGCAGCAGACGAATAGGATTAGAGAAGGACCATGTCATGATACTTCTAGTGGGTTCTAAAGAGATTGAGTTCTTGTATCACTGGTCCTATAACTTTTGCTTCCATGATATTCCACAAAGAAAGGATTTTCTTAGAACCTCATCGTTACTCCTCACGAGATATTGAGAAATGACAACGGAGGTTGCTTGAACCGATACTCACAGCAACTGCCTCTCTATTTCCAGCTACTTGTTCTGTAAAATTTTCATTTTGAAGATTTATCGATTTTTTGCACCACGCACGAGTGCGTTACATATCTATTTTGTTTGTTGCTTGGGATAAACCTAGGCACAGTTGAGGGAGATGAACCGGTTGCTTTTGCTTTTTGTGCTTTGAGGGTCGCTGGACCTAAGCCAATCCCTAGAAAAAGGTAAAAACCAGCCTAGAACTAGAACTAGATTTCTTGCGTTACTTATCATCTATTAAGTATATTGGCCGTAAGTCAATGTCGCATCCGTTTCAGGTTCATCTGGAGCTAAGTGTTCTAATCCAGCGTGTGTCCCACGCAACAACCGTTGCCGTTCTCGAAATTTTGCTACTGCTCTTGCACGTTGTTTTAGACGTCACATATATTCATATATTCATCGATAATAAAAAAATTGCATCTTTGTCCTTGACGTGTTGTTCTCCTTCCCTTATATATTGAGCAAATAGGGGGGAACAAAGAACAAGAAGATGCTTCTCAGGATGAATTGTTATGAGCCTTAATTTTTGCAGCAGTTTGTGCAAGACTGGATCCTCCAGGCCCGTCAAGCATCTGCCAATCGCGTCACAGGTCTCGGCAGCTAGCTCTGATAGCCCTTGCGAGTCCGTGGCATGCATAAGCTGGCGGGCCTCGGTGACTAGCTCGAACGCACGCTGGGTGCGCAAAGCCTGCAGATCAAGGTCGAACATCGTCTCGTCGATTCGGAAGAGTAACACCTAGCCTCCTGAACCAACTCTATCTATATACTCTAAAAACAGAGCAGACGACTCGTGCTCGCCGACCTTGAATAAAGTATTAAGAAAAAGAATGAATGTCAAACAATGAATCAATGTCTGAGAAAAAATAATTTTCAAAAAAAGGAAAATATAAGAAACTCGTTTGAAGATGCTTTTGCTTTGCACCTCACAAACTAGTACTTACTTCGCAGGTTCAAAAGAACGAACAATATGAAATTGAAGCATGGGAATATTAAGGGGGCAACGATTTAAACATGTCTGCTTTAGGTTGTTTTTTGCGCAATCATGGAAGTGTTACAACATCAGCACCTCATATTTGGGAAATAGAACAAGCGGACTCATCGCAACAGAGTGGAAGTGGAGGTTCACGCTTTATTCACTCAAACAGATCAACATGATAAGCGTAGCCACACTAGTACACTCCAACAAACACGACCGTAGGTTGCACTCTGACAGAGCCGAGATTTATTTTGATCTCCTTTAACAGACAGAGACACTGGGGGTTGCACTCTATTAGATTAAGAGACGAGCTTCATATGGTTAACCACTCTGCTCTACCAGAAGCGTGCACAGATGGTCCTCAAACTCATTCATTGCCTCCTCAAGAACAGGTGGACTCAGCGGTTTTTTGCGAACAACTGAGCAGATCGATATGAAGATAGACGACCTCCTCTTCCTTCATGTGCATGAGCAGGAGTCGTCCTTTTCCTCTTGCTCTATTGTATTTTTTGTTTTTTCTGTTAAAACAAAGCAGGAGTCGTCCTTATTTTCCTCTTGCTCTATTGTTATTTTTGATAAAACAAAGGGTCAACACAATCAACACCATAAAGAAGGGAAAGGGTAGAGAAGGACTTTCATCCTCACTCTTTACCTGCTTCTCTCAAACTGAAAGCTAGCCAAGATGATGATCGGGCCAAGCTTATTGATGTTGTTTTTTTTGTTTTGAAGCTGCTCTCCTATAATCATTCAAGATGAACAGATAATTTCTGCCAGTAGTAGTAGTAGTAGTAGTAGTAGTAGTAGTGTGCCCAATCTTGGGGTGTAGAAGATTGTCTAATTAGCAAGTCGAATCACATTTATAACATAAGAATGATCATGAAAATTCATTGGACGATGTTGTTGTACTTATTGGTAGTACTGGGTGTAAGTTCGTCAGTCATCAATCACGCGCAAGTCACACTTATATGAACAATGTGTCGCCCCCGGTCGTGTGCTGAACACGCCTGCTCGTGCTCACGCCCCTTGATCAATTTTTTACTTTCCTGCTCGGTTAAATAAAAATTCAAAATATTAGTAATACTTGTTGCTCAATAATCGTTTCTAATAAGTCCTCGTAATGATATATATATTATGTCCTCATCAAAGACGTGACATAACACAAGCACAACTACACTGTTCCTAATCCTAGATACTAGTACATGATGCATTATAATATATATCCTAAGACTTTGACAGGCGCAGCCTCTAACGACAGGTATGAAGCAAAGTCACTGCTTACAACTTGATGATGAATCTCACTGTAGGAAAAATCAATAGTCTTCTTCCTTGTACCCATTCATGCGGCAGAGAAGATCTGATAAACAAACAAAGATAAAAAAGAGACTCCCTACTTTCAGCGGAGCCAGCATGTGTTTCCAGGCTAACCAGAGAATCGTAGCATAATCAATCATAATCGAAGATGGTGAAGATTCATAGCATAGATTTTTTTTCTACTTGTCCGAAAAAAATCACACCCTTGTGGTGGGTGTAAGTAGTCCTCCGTGACCAAAAAAGTTTATAGATCTTGTGAAGATGTCTATATATGCGCCACCACAGACCAGACCACAGGGGGGGGTACCGTCCAGGAGCCCTGCTGAACCATATATAATCATATTTACACCTCTACACATTTACACCGTTCCTTACCTTGATTACAAAAGGATCAAGACCACGTCTAACCGTCGAACTTTCATTCGTCCATTTATACGAAGCTTCTGCAGGCGGCTTTGTCGACCACAGCAGGCCGTACACCACTGCAGGCCGTACTTGAGATTTATATTTAAAATTGATGACTCACTTCCGAATTTAAAAGAAAACCAATGTGATTTTTTAGGACTACATTACTCCACTAGTATGACTTCCTGCTCCAGCAACGATTTTCTAATATTCTTCTAACTACTTGTACTGACCGGTGCTGAAAAATTTGATTACTGGTTCTGAAAATGAGAAATCTCTTCTTGATTTTCTTGCAAGGAGGAAATACCAACTACCATATTATACTTTCTATATCGAGGAAATGGAGAGAACACGAGATGAATTGCCGTTCCCTCCTTGAAGTTGAAACCGAACGTCTTAATCTTGTTTCTGTTTGTTCTTATCCTTGTGAACAAGACTTAAACTTCATACACGAAAATAGTCCTCCTCCACGTCCGTTGTTCCCCCCCAACATCTGCAGCTACTTTATCAGTACCCCAAACTGGGTGTGTAGAGTCTGTCGATGCGAGCTAAGGTTAGCACCGGATGCAGGCGCTTCCTGTTCTTCCGACAGCGAGAGGTCAGCAGGTGTGCCACGGAGATCATCTGCGCCGTTGGTCGCATGTCTCGCGCTGGTAGCCGCACAACGCAGCATCCGAAGGGCTGAAACATACCCTCAAAACTTGTCTGATCCGTCTTCTTGTCGCATCCGTCATCTCCTTTCTCGTTGATGCCGCTCTTCGCCTGAAGCAAGACGAAATAAAAAAATACTCAGTGAAAAATAGAGGACTGTGTATTATTATTTTTTTCAATTCGTCTCGCGAGCTTCGTGTCTCCTAATGGACGTAGTCTACGAAGTCACACAGCGCCAGCCTGAAATGCACAAAAATTAATATATCTATATAAGAAGCAGGGGCGGGCGGTCACTAATTTACTCATGTGCTCCTCGTCATAGTCCGCAATTATTGGGTAAAAACATCACGAATTCATCGATGTTAGAAAGGAACACCAGACTACCGTGTAGGTAAAAACTCTACTTCCCAAATAACTAAATATTCAAATTGAGAATTCAGCACAACCAGTCACTTCACTACCACGACACGCAAAATAACTAGAAACTACTATATACTTATTGTTTCATGGGATAACCTTAGAACTTCAGAGGTGAAAAACTAAAACTAGGAACCATATACTTATAATTTGTGAGTACCTGCTCTTGTCGTGCGAGGATGTTCTTGGGGGTCGCATTTTCGGGCTCATAGTAATGTGGCGAGGGCACAGCCTTCCGAAGCTTTTTGTGGAGTTTTGCCTCTTTTTTAGCGGCGTTAGCCTCTTCCTGCTCTTTGCGCTGCACTTCCCGACAATAGCGGCCCCCCTCTCCGACGGAAAGAGAGAGCGCAAAGGTTTTGTCCTGCTGAACAACGGCCTCGTCAACATTGCTTTTGCTGCTGCTGGAGAGAGTGTTCTCATGCATGGAAGAGGAGGGTCCTGCCGCCGAGTTCTCCGAGACATCCCCATTGTCGTGTCCCCGCGTGGCGGGCTGATAAGAGCCTCCCGAGAGTGAGTTGGTGGTGGTGCTCTCCAACAGATCCACATGTCCCAGCTCATACCTGCGGTCCTGCGGTGCGGAGGAACAGTAGCTCCCGTTGCCGCTTGCGAGCGCCGTGTAGGGGCAGTTCGAGACGTGCAGCAGTTCCACTTCCGAAGTGCTGTTCGTGTCCTCGTTCGAGTTCGTGCTGTCCTCCACGTCTTGGTCTTGCGAGCTGGAGTCCTTCTCGCCTTCCGTCACGAAGCCCCGTCGCTGCTTCTCTTTGCGAAGCCACGACTCCTGACTGCCCTTGTTCGAGCTCACACTCGAGCTTTCCCGGTCGCCCTTCATCCCGGCGCTGCTGGGCGCGCCACCAGTCTCTTGCTCACTGGTTTCCACAAAGGTGCGCTGGTGGCTGCACACCGAACGGGCCTTCGAACTCCTCGCATCGCCGCTGGAGTCTGCACTACATATATTACTTGGCATATTATTGCTCTTGGTGTGCGGCTTTTGTGCGTGCACGACGCCATTCTCGGAATCGCCTACACGAGAGGACAGCTTTGCGACTTCGTAGAGATCTGGCAGCCGGTTCACTAAGTGGTCCCAAGTATCCGCGAGGAAGGTCTGCGGCAGTACGCGACGCCCATTCTTCTTCCCCGGTCGACGAATCGCCGGGGGCAGGAAGAGAAAACGACTTCCGCACGAACAGGTGTCCGCGCGCTGCCGCTGCCCTGGAACAGTGCCAACGCTCGCAGAAATAGCAGCAGGAGCAGTGGCCGCGTTTGCCAGGACGCCTCCAGGACCCTTCTTAGCGGACGGTGAGGTAACCTTTTTGCACAGAGCGGTGGCGCTGGTTGTGTCCGCGGCAGCTTGGTCCGCTGGTGTCTTTCTACTCGAAGAAGTAGAAGTTGCATGATCCACCATATGATCCTTGCTATTCACGCGCACTAGAGTAGATGAAGCCTTAGGGTCTCTCGTGGTGGATTTGCGCTTCCCGCTCGTTGCAGCGACATGATTCTTCTTGCCATCGTCTTTGCTCACGGGCTCGTCTGCCTGATCCACCACCACTGCTTCGTCACAGTGGTCAGCGCCACCAGCACGATCTGCAAGAGAAAGAGTAACTGCCTCCTCGAAAGCCTTATTTACTGCGGGCCCTTCCGCGCCACCCCGCAAATTGCGCGTGGTGGAGGTGCCGCAGCGGCAGCGCTGCTTCATGGCCGAATGCGAATTGCCACCTGTGCCTTGAAAGGGTAAGGAAGACTGGTTCTCCGATTCACCCGAAGACGGCGCGAGCGATGTTGAAGAGGAACTGCTCTCACCGGTGGAATTCGAAAGCTGAGTTGCCGCCTCCGAGAGGTCCTCGGCACGTCGAGGGTCCTTATGGAACGTCAAAAAAGAGCCTGGCACTTGGCTGAGCACTCGCGCGATATCGAACTTGTGGGAGGAGCTTTCGTTGTTGAGTTGGATTCCGTCGGCTGCGGCCGAAGCGGCGTCAGTGTCGTCATTGCCTCCCCACTTTGCGCGGCACCTGGCGCTGTCTTTGCCGTCGCCTGCGCCAGCGCTGCCACTGTCTGCCTGCAAGTCTTCCGCGCGCCTGCTTCCGCGATTCGCCACGCAGTCGGGCACGTCTTCGGGCCGGTCGATGCCGCACATCTTGGCCCACGCATCACCGAATACACCCAGCACGTTCGCGTGCTTCCCGCGCGAAGTGTCGCCACAATTCTCCTTTCGTGCACGCGCCGGCATGACCGGACCGTACCACAGCGCTCGGTCCTCTGGGATGCTGAGCATCTTCTGATCAGAGGGAAGCCACGAAGAACTAGAAGCACTGGTCTGTCGTCGATCCGCCGCAAGAGAAGTCGCACTGGACTGGTGCACCAAGTCCGAACTCCTGGTGGACCTGGGAATTTGTAGTTGTTCCACATGATCTTTGATGTTCGCGCTTACTTCGTTGTCCGGGATCTCCTCGATCGTCGCTCCCTGAACAATTTCTTCTGAAGCGTTGTTCGGCGAAAGAAGTTCACCCGCAGCAGAGGTCGTGAACGTTTCGCGCGTCATCGTCGAATTGCCGTTCACGGTCTCGTTCACGATCTCGCACACGTCGTGCTGGATAACGTCCTCGTCGACAAACTTCATTTGCGTGATAGATTCCGTACTTTGCTGCACGGCACCCGTGGGCGAGTACTGCGTTGCCTTCACGTGGACCGTGACGTTCCTTCCCTCATTGATGATGTGCTGTTGCTGCCTCGGGGTCGCGCCAGCGTCGGAGTCGCCGTTTGTCGCGCTCGCGGGGGACGACAACAACAGTGGAACAGGCACCACGGTGCTGCTCGCTCCGGCCATCATACCATCTCTGGGAGTCAAAGTAGCACTTCCTGCGCGTCCCGCGTTTCTCGGAGTGGTCACGCTGGGCGGCAAAACGCTGTCGCTGAGGCCATCCGCAACCACGGACTGCTCTCCTTCAGCCTTCGCGGTTACGACAGCGCTAGGTGCCACGACCATGCTGTGCTGACCTTCGAAGCCAGGAGGCAGTGTTGCGGGCGCAGGGCGGACCACGCTGGCGGGGCCCGCAACGGCGACAACGGTACTACTGGTCGTGACAGGCGCAGGAGCTGCCACAGCGGACGGAGCAGCGACCTTCTTGTTACCACCAAGCCCGGTGAAGAGACGCCCCGTGCGAGGATCCTCCACTTGGTGCTTCGCTGCCCACTCATTGGACATCTTTTGATCGACCTCAACAGCCGGTGGGGTGCGCTCACGTTCGGACTGAACCCAGGCGAACGAAACGGACTGTCTCGCGATTTCGTCGTCGTAGTTTTTACGGCCCGCGGCCTCCTTGCTTCCGCTTGTAGAGGATGTAGCTTTCTGTGAGGAGAAAGCAGGCGGTGCTGCGTTGCTGCTCCTCTTGCTAGCTTTCTTGTTGTTCGAAACCCCCGCGGTCGCATCCTCTTTGGCAGAGACGTCGTTCAAGTCGCCATCCCTGACCCTGTCTTCTTCCTCGTGCTTTAGCTTGCCAGCAGCACGTGTTTTACCCGTTGCCTCGGTGGCCGCACTGTTCTTGCTTCGGGCTCGTTCGGTCGCTCCCGCAGCTGGAACCAAATCTCCTCCATCGTCGCTAATGTCGCCGGAAATCAGGTTGTTGTCTCTTTCCTGCTTGGAGGACGCTCTTCTCGCTGATGTTGCCTTTTGCTTTTTGCTTGCTCGGTCTTCCTCTTCGTCAAGATCTCCCTTGGAGTCGGCGCCATCCCGGAGCAGGTTGTTCACGCTGACATCGTCATCGGACGCACTACCGAGAGACTTCTTGCCACCCGAGGTCATGTAGAGGCGGCAGCTTTGGTACATCTCTTCGCAGACCCAGCTCGCACCTGCCACGTCGTTCGCTTCCAGCCACTCGGCAAAGGAGTCGTAAGGTGCATCTTCGTGTAGCTCCTGGTCGCCGTATATGGCGGAAGGACGCCTGCGCATGCCCGCACGGCCCTGCGATCGCTTGCTCCTCGGGTGTTTCACCTGCTGCTGTGTGCCGATACTGGAGGCGGAGGCTGGGTTGGTGCCATTCCGGACCTCCACGGAGCCTGGCTTCCCCAGCAACGTTCCCGAAGATGCATCCTTGCCTGGACGGCTGGTGTCGCTGGTACCGCTGCCGCGCTCGTCCGCCTCGTCCTTCTGCGAACCGGAACTTGGGTCACTCATGCGCATTCGGGTACCATTAGCGTTGTCGTCGCCCATGCTGGCGGTCGTCGCATGTTGCAGCGAAGTGTTGGAAGTGGAGCTCGCGCCGCTGCCGCGCATGTAAGAGGACGACAAGGCACTTTTTTTGTTGTCCGACGTCGCGCCTTGCTGGATTGAACTCGTCGTGGTGCGATGTTTGACTTTGACCACCTGCTTAGTTACACTACGTGGAGTTGGATTCGAGTCGCATACGTGGGTCAAGAAGTAGGGTTCGCGCGTCGATGCGTCAGCGAAGACTTCGAAGACGCGCACAATCTTCTGCTGCTGGCGCACGTTGCGCTGCTGGCACATGCCTTTCACGATGTTCGACCACACCGCGGGCGAGGTCACCCGCAGATTGTACTTCTTCACAATGGTAACTAACCAATCGTTCACCTCAATCACATCCCACAGACTACCCTTCGGCCGCTCCTCTTGCGGAGTCATTTCCAGACGAATTTGGCGTCTGCGCAGTGTGGTGGGACCCTTGCGCTGGTCAAATACGGCCAAGAAATCAGCGGTCTTGCCCGAGTCGCGAGCCCGCTTGTATGCCGCCAAGTCCGTAGAGCGAATATGCGGAAAGCGACAATCCGCGACAAAGCATCGATCTCCAAGGAAATGGATGCAAGCATCCACGTTATCAGCAGGCTGAAGTCCTCCCAGGAGGTTCGGACCAGGGGCGGCCGACGTCGCCGCTGTAACGGGTTGGCATGCGAGGGAGTTGCGGTCACCCTTGACTGCGCTCGACGTTCCGGATGGTGCGACTGAAGTAGTGTCTGCGCCGAAAATAATGTGGGCAAAGCGACAGTGGTTGACGAAACAACGACCCGCCATGAAGTGTCGACACATATTCAGATTACTGGCATCACGATCGGAACCACGAGGACCTCCTCCACCCTTAATATTATTGCTGGTACTCTTCGTCGAACCGGTAGCCCTGGTCTTTGAAGTGGCGGATGTGATCCTTGTTTTTTTGCCTCCTCTGGAATTATCGGTGGCGCTCTGGTCGATGACACTTCTGCTCTCGGCGCTGCTGCCTGCGCTAGACCTGCTTACGACGGAACATACTTTCTGATCGGAGGTGGTCGTTGACGGAGGCGGGTACCCGGTGCCGGTCATCCACAGTGATTTGGGCCCAGCCTTGCCTCCAGTTTCATTGCTTTTGCTGGTCGTGTTGAGTTGTGAAGTGGATCTCGATAGCCCTTTAGAAGTGATGGCGCTGTTCATGGAGCCTTTCGTCGAGGTAGCCCACGCGGTTCGCGATCGCATATCATCTTTGCCGCCTGTTGTCTCACTTTCGTCTACACTACTGCTGGGAGGATCTCCCACCGATGATGACGCTCCTCCTGCCTTACTAGTAGAAGTATTATACTGTTGATGAGACTGACTGCCTGCTGTGACTCCTTCGTAGTTGTTGCACCCGTTGCTCGCGGTATAGTGGGTCACATCTTTCGCAGGTTGACCCCCACGCGCGGGATAGCTTGAAGTGCGACCGTAGGGGTTATCGGATAATTTCGGTTTGTTCTTGCTGTCGCTTGTACGATTTTTGTTGTTCACGAAACTGCCGCCCCCTTCTCCTGTTCGTGAGGCATTGTCGGCTGAAGATGATTTTGGCGCTGAGACGCATCGACTCAGCATACCGCTTTTTGATGAAGAAGCTCCTTTGTGTTGAGGCGGACGGGGATCGACGTGGCGAGGATCGACACTACCAGCTGCTGTTCCATTTCCTCCATTGAGCATGCTTTTGCCAGAATACGTTTGCTCATGATGTTCCGCAGCAGGAGCAGTACTAACGCTCCTGCTCACTCCTGTACTACTGGACGACAAAAGACGAAAAGCAGGCTGTAGTTTGGGATTCATAGCTCCTGTACCTGTGCTGTCGTCGTAAATGGAGGTAGAAGCCCAAAGCGGATGATCGCGCCAACCGGCGTCATAGTCCTGCCCACTGAACCAACATGGCTGTTGTAGAGCAGCAGAAGTTGAGGTCGCGCCGGCGGGACCCCACGTCATATCCTGCTCGGGAGCTGCGGCTGCATCCGCAGCCGCGGCCAAGTTCATCGCTAGATAATCAGGAGGTGCGAACATATCGTCTTGTCCAGGTGTTGTTCCTCTTCCTACGTGTCCTCCTAGTGCTGCTAGGGATGCGTGAAACGTGGTACCCCTCACGTTGCTTGCGGAATATTCATGCTCCAACGCAATGCCGGCGGCGTTGGTTCCTGCCGAGGCCAGTCGGGACTTCTCCTCCTCTATGCTGTTGTTGTAGTTACCCGCGTTCAACAAGCACTTCGGAGGCAGGGGCGCCGGTGGATAAGAATCATCAACGAGGCCGAGGCCGGCAGCACGACTCGAGGTGTTTGCGTTCTTTCGCTGAGCCGCGGCACTGCCATTAGCGTATGGCAGCTCCGGGACCACTCTGTCTTCGGGACGAAAACCCGGAGGAGTGCCATTGTAGGGGGTGGCTCCGCGTGCTGCTTGCGAAGAAGCATGCATTCCGTTTTGTTTTTGTTCGCTCCCAGCTGCGCACTTGCCTCTCCACAGCGCCGTTGCGTAGAGCCGCTGCAGGCAGTCCTGGACCTCGCGCGCCTCTTTTTCCGTAAAAATCATGCGTGGCGCACCAGAGTCTCCTCGTCCGTTTGCTATACCTTTGTTCCCTTTGCCGTTCTTTGCTGCAAGAAGGAGCGAGAATTCGTTTCCACTGCGCTCCAGAAGGCGCCCATCTTCTCCTGAAGCACCACCCGCTTCTTCATCTCCAGGAGGATAGTAGGGACGGTTCGCCGCGGCTGGTTTTGTCTTGAGAGAGGCGGCCAACGGAAATGCGCCGCTTGGTTCCCCCACCTGTTGAGAGGCGCTCAGCTCATCGCGCTTTTCAGGATAGAAATATCCAGCCGCCGCCGAGGGGAAACGCGAACTCGTGTGAAAGCCCCGAACGTCACCAGCACCCTCAATGGACGACGCGCGTGCACGTGCTGCAGTGGTCATGAGTTTCGTGAATTCATCACTTTCGTTTACAACTACAGCCGAATCATTCCACTCCAGTCCCGGGGGTGGCATGAAGGCCCGCAGTTCTTTACTATGAACTATTTGCATTCCACCGTCTACTTGCTCTTGCTGCATGATGCTGTCTCCTGCTGCGCCATCATGTTGATCTAATCGAAAAAATTGGTCTAATGCGTCTTGGTGTTGGTACTTGCCGACTAGATCCCCGCCACGCGGGTCCTCGCCATCTCGCTGGGCAGATCCTTGTCGATCGGCGCCGAAGCGGGACAAACTAGGGGGCGCATGACGCGCGGACGAAACTGGAGGCGGTGGAGGGGCAACACCGTAGAAAGGCAATCTGATACCTCCGCGGCCAGATGAATCCTGTTGCAGGTTTACGCCAGAGGACGACGAGTTGATCCTATTCTGATGAGTTCCTGCAGCCGCTCCTCCTGTCGCGTTCATACGATCACGTTCGGACCTGTAGCCTCCTCCACTTTCGACTGCGGATGAAAGTGCAAAGGAAGATGGCTGCGTCGCTTCGCTGGCTGCCGCAGACATCGCCTGACGTAAATATAAAGCACGGCTCTGTTCCGAAAAATTGTCACCACTCCTCATCGACGCAGTGTCACCAACGCTTCTTGCGCTGGATGCATTTCTCGTGCTCCCCTGACTCGCAAATGTCGTGCGAGGTTCGTTGATGCCGGCACGGCCTCGAAGCTCTCTGATCAGTGGCTCTGGTATATTCTCGAGGAGCTGGGCCGGAAATTGCTGTAGCAGCTCCGCTGACAAGCTGTGAATCACGTCCGCAACCTGGGAACTTGCAGCTACGCTGCTGGCTCCGTAGTTGTTTCTGCTCCGGCTCGTGCTGGATGATCTAAGATGAGGGGGCGGAGGCTGAAGATCGTCGTTTGCATGATACCCATATCGTGGAGCAACTGCGCCTCCATTCGGAGCGCCGTTTGCACTGCCAACAGCGTTTGCACGGGTGCTGACGCCCAAGAAGTCGCCTGAGACTTCTTGATTATTTACTCGGGGAACAACCGGATCATCGGCAGCAGCATAGTGGGTAGGAAGGCGGTTCCGACCTCCACCGCCGTGATGTGAAGATGGAGCTGCTCCTGTAGGAGCTCTAAAATCTTGATGTTTTCCACCATTCTGTTGATGTTGACCATTCTTCGAATGTAATCGCAAACTCGCTGCACTCAAAGAGAAAGCCTGCTGCTGTTGCCCTTTACTAGCGCTGTTCTTGTATATGGTGTTCCCATGATGTTGCAGCGCCGCGACACGATCAAGAGCGTCGTCATCGTATGAGGATCTAGGTGCATGGTCGGGACTGGAGGACGCAATCGCCGGGACCGGGCCTGGACCTCCTGGAATGTTGCCATTGGTGCCTTTCGGACCTTTGGGACTGCCTTTTGGGAGATGAGTGTGCATCTTCCCCTTGTTGTGCGTACTCCTGGGGCTGGACGAGGCGCCCATACCCCGCGCGATGCCAGTTTCGACGGAGGTGCGCTCCTCTGGCGACGAGGAGACGTGGTCGGATGATCTCGGTTGAGAGATGAGGTGATCGCCTCCACCACCCCCGTTGGATTTCTCGCTCTCGTGGGCGACTGTCGTGCTGTAGTGGTGCTCCTCTGGTCGTGGAGGACCACGCGACGGATCCGGATAGTTATCTTCATCAGCAGATGACAATTCGCGCAACTTGTGTTCTTTAGGTCCATTATGTCCTTTAGGTCCACCTCCTCCATTGTGTTGTTGTTTATCATGTTCAAGTCCACGTGGTGCCGAGGATGAAACGAGATTTCTGTCCAAAAGACACTGCCCCTTTCCAGGACCAGCAGGAGGACCGATCATGCGGTCCTCGAGAGGACGATAATCACGCTGCTGTGCTAGTCCACCTCCTCGTGCTGTCGCCATGGTGTGACGTTTTTGGGAATAAATCGAGCCGCCAAAACTGCCACCTCTCTCGTCGCAAGAACTGCTACCTCCTCTAATCACGTGGTCGAAACGTCTCTGCTGCTCTGCAGCAGTCTCAAAGATCGCACTTTCGGCACCTGCCGAAGCACCACGGAGATGGTGACCATGTTGCCAAGCTGCACCACCTCCTCCAACACGCGGTGCTGTGCTGTGTACTCTCTTACCCCCGTCCGCACGCCACCGGTCGACACCGCGATCTCCAGGTCCTGCCTTGTTGAGTCCCGCCCCCTTCTTCAAGCCTCCACCAGTACTATGTTTTTCTTGATCTGCTCGAGCTGCTCCTACGACGGCCGCTCCTCTTGAGGTTGTTTTTGCGGGAAGAGTATCGACGGAGTAGTAGGAATGATCATGATGTTGTTGTCGTTGTCCTCCTCCAGAACCTAGGCCTGCTCTAACATGTGCCTCGTCATCAGCACGCCATGTCGGAGACTCTTCGTCATGCTGTTGTGGAGGCAGCTGACATCCACCTCCTGCGCTGCTCGCGGCGGCCGCCATTTTTAGATGAGGCGCTGCTGGTGCGCCAGCAGTTGTATAATGTAGTTGCTGTTGACGATGCTGACTACCACTGCGTTGGGGTCCGCGACCGTGAGCAGGTGGTCCTTCTGGAAGACTATTGCTAGATTCAGGGGCGAGATGTCCTCCTCCTCCTCCTCCTACAGCGGATGAAGGAGCTGGCGGGCGTGCTCCTTTAGTTGTAGGTGGAACGCGGTCGTTGCCGCGATGAAAGCCAGTTCTCAAAGCCATCCACTCATCTTGTGTTAGCTCCCGCCGCGGCGTTCCAAGCGACGCCGCAGCTGTAGTTGGAGAAAGTGGCTGTGGTTCAACATTCGTCCCTAAAGAGGAGGACCCAAGAACTACATGTTCCGAATCGCGGTTCATCTTGTTCTACTTATTTTTCTAAATAATTACTATGTTGAATATAAATATATCTACTCCTGCCTCTTCTAGGAGCGCTGTCGTGATGGTTGATACAGATGATCGCTGTACTACTTCGATCCGCTTCCTCCATGGAACTACTCGTCCGAGTCCGAATATTACTAGTATGGCTCGCAGGTCGCAGGTGGCTCGACAATTTGCTCTGTTGGAGGGCGACCAATCTGGTCGTCTTGTTCGTGAAGAGTGAGCATAGTAAGTACTGTCGTTAGAGCCCCCCCAGCGGTTGCGTTTCGCGTTTTAACTCCTACCCTAACTCGGATTAAACTCCTGGCACATGCTCGGGCTCGTTTCTGCTGTTAAGGGGGTCAGCTTTTGAGAGTGGGAAAAACTTTCTTGGAGGCATTTCTGGACGACTGAAAACGCAGAAAAAAAAAC